TGTCAGAGGTCCCCGCCTCCTCCCCTGCTGCCATAAACGGGCTCCGCCTCCTCCTCCACTGCTGGTGATGTCAGAGGTTCGCGAGTTGAGGTTGACCGAACACCGGGTACAGCCTGCTCCACCGCCGCTGCTGGCTCTCATTGACTCTGTGGAGACGAACGCACTGCTGCACAGATGATGAGAACAGCGGCATGTTCGTCTTCAGCCGACAGTGAAAGCCACCATCAGAGGATCCCATAGCGACCCAGGCGGCTCGCACGGCATCTGGCCGGGCCCCACTGTGCCCCGGGCCCCATAGCGACCGCCTGGGTCGCTATGGTGATTGTCACGCCACTGACCTTATACCTAATCTACAATATCCACTGCTACTGTTGACAACAGTGCTAGAGATGGGTAGCTCATGAGCGATCCGGCTCTATTGAGCGGTTCCCTCAGAAGAACGAACGAGCCATGGCTCAGAAAAAATGGGCGCCGGTTCTTCTGGTCTGTTGTGCTCTGTGCGGAGTGTGGATGGAATGTAGTAGAAGCAGAGAAGAGCGTGACGGCTCTCGACGTCTCTTGTAAGTGGCAGCTATATAGTAATATGATCTTAGAGAGCCAGGCTTCTGCCAGCCCCGCCCATCCCACCCCTGCAACCAATCACATCACATCTGTGAACTCACAGAGACGTCTCAGACGGATCTGTAAGCAACAGAGACGGAACTGGAAGAGTCAGACAGTCTCAGGAGTCATTTTCATTTGGTTCTTCTTTCGCTTTTTTGAATCTGGCTCTCGATGGATCAGGATTCAGGAATGATGTAGTTCTTCTGCTCCTCGTGACGTGCCTTCTGGAATCTGATTGAGATCAGCTCAGAGAGACTCACTCATTCTACTCTACACCATTTCTCCGTCTGAAGAATTGTGCTGCTGTTTTAAAGGTAAGTAAATTCATGTGAATTATAATAATGAGTGTAGCACTGGCGGGGAAGTTTGAGGGGGGGGGATGCTGGTTATATAGTGCTCACTTTTATTATAATGCAATGCATTATAGTGGGGGGATGCTGGGGGTATTCTGCATAGCCGACTTTTATTATAATGCAATGCTGGGACTTGTAGTCCCGCATAGCTGGTGGTATTCTGCATTGGTGTATGATGATTATACAGCAATGCAGAATAGCTCCAACTATGTAGGACTACAAGTCCCAGCAATGCATTGATGGTAAAAGAGCAGTTTAACAACAAGAAGTCATACAACATAATTCCAGGTAGTCAAGAGATCAGATGACAACGTTTAAACATAAGAGCCAGTTTTACTTTTAAAATAACTACCATTCCCTCCCTCAAAATTCACCCCCGTCTCATTTCCTCTCCTATAGTAAAAAGAGCCGTTTAGTGAACCATGAGCCATTTAAAAGATCCGGATCTTTTCAGTGAGCGATCCGTTGAGGAGCGCTCATGCAGATTAACCGTTTTGCACATCTCTAAACAGTGCTAGTTCTTAAAATTACACTAAACTCAGGAATTTCATCTTAAAAATGCATTCAAGTAGCTATTAACAAAAATGTATCTTATTTGTGTATCACTTGGCTGTAGATCCTCAAATCATCTCTGAATCGGTACGGACACTGTCCTTCCACTGTCCTTCCTTCTTGAGGGTGGCTACTTTTTGTTCTCCTTGGTCCCTGTATGTTATAACGTAACCATCACTATTAGCTCGCTCCTGTAATGGACTACAATCTCAAAACAAATCACTGAACTAAACATGAGATTGTAGTCCATCAGGGGAGCAAGCTGGGAGTGGTGGCTACTTTACAACACACAGGGACCATGGGGAACAAAAGTAGCCGCCCCCTAGAAGGACAGTATCCGCACAAATTCAGAGATGATTTGATAATCTACAGCCGAGTGATACATAAATAAGATACATTTTTGTTAATAGTTAAAGGTACTTCAATGTATTTTTAGGATTTAACTCCTGAGTTTGGTACTAAGAAACCATCATTGGTAGGTCTCGGCCTAAAAAATAAAATGTGTTCCTCCACATGCCCTGACCCATAGGCTTTATATATTTATATATTGGAGGCAGTCAACCACAGTTTTGGCTAAAGTATTTCAAAATAACCTTAACCATGACTAGTGCTGAGCTGGACTTCCATTAAGCCAGCCTATGTATACCCACTCCTACAGACTGACACCCATGTATTAAGGCATTTTGAATACTTGTTTAACTCCTCCCAAGAGCCAGTCCATTACTTGCATCAAGACTGAGGGCTTTTTGCAAAAAGTACTGAGGCAGGGTGCTGTGATGTTTTCATGCTATGCATGGCAGCCTGTGGGCTGTTCCACCAACCATGATCTGCCTGCATTGCATAGAAAGACCAAGAGATACAATGATGATGCCACTAGGTCTAACAAAAAAGAATGTAAATAAAAACAGAGTTTTTATTTAAAGATTTCACATTTATGAAGGAGGAAAGGAACAACCAGGGAAGGCAAAATATAAGCATATTAAACTTCAGCTTTAATGGACTATATAATGTTGAGGTGTGTATGGACAAAAAAAATGAAGACGCCTTTATTTCCTGATATACATCAATGTTCTGATGTTCAAAGTTCTGATATATGAACATATCTGTGTTCTGTAATTTTATATATATATATAAAAACACACACACACTATATTGCCAAAAGTATTAGGACACCCCTCCAAATCATTGGATTTAGTTGTTCCAATCACCTCCATGGCCACAGGTGTATAAAATCAAGCACCTAGGCATGCAAACTGCTTCTACAAACATTTGTGAAGGAATGGGTCGCTCTCAGGAGCTAAATGACTACAAGCGTGGTACCGTGATAGGTTGCCACCTGTGCAATAAGTCCATTCGTGAAATGTCCTTGCTACTAAATATTCCACGGTCAACTGTTAGTGGTGTTATAACAAAAGTAGAAGCAACTTGAAACAACAGCAACTCAGCCACAAAGTTGTTTTTCAGGGTTTGGGCTTGGTCCCTTAGTTCCAGTGAAGGGAACTCTTAAGGCATCAGCATACCAAGACATTTTGGACAATTTCATGCTCCCAACTTTGTGGGAACAGTTTGGGGATGGCCCCTTCCTATTCCAACATGACTGCGCACCAGTGCACAAAGCAAGGTCCATAAAGACATGGATGAGCGAGTTTGGGGTGGAGGAACTTGACTGGCCTGCACAGTCCTGACCTCAACCCGATAGAACACCTTTGGGATGAATTAGAGCGGAGACTGCGAGCCAGACCTTCTCGTCCGACATCATTACCTGACCTCACAAATGCGCTTCTGGGAGAATGGTCAAACATTCCCATAGACACACCCCTAAAACTTGTGGACACCTTCCCAGAAGAGTTGAAGCTGGTGTGCGTGTGTGTATTTATTTTTTAATTACAGTGCTGGATTTGCAAAATGTGCATGAGTCATCAATAACCAGGTTAACATTGCATTTAATTAATGCTGGTATGTTAAGAAGGAGAACATAGACATACAGTATATCAAATAACTTACTGCGTAAAATGAGTTTTCCAAATAAGCTCTGGTCTCTTTCGTGTGTGTTGCAGTTCCATCGGTGATGTCGAAATTGATGCTGACATTCTGATGTCCACTCGTGCACTCCCAAACCAATCACATGCATAATTTCAGGATAACGTTGACAAAGCTGCCTCTGGCGGGTCACCAAACCTGGAACATTATTGCACATTACTCGGGAAGAAGTTGAAGAGGATCCAACAGCTCCCATATACCTACAGAAGAGAAAAAAATGTATAAGATCAAACACACGGTCACTAGAAAAAACAAATGTTATATGTGCTCACCAATCAATGTGGTATACATTTGGAACAAACCTAGTCAAACTCTGTATCATTAAGGATCTATTTACTTCTTTGCAGTGTGGTAACATGCATTATGTTGTACATTAATGTGCAGTGGGTTAAGGCAGCTCCTTAAAATAAATGAGCTGGCAAAGCACCATTGTGTACTAAAAAAAAACCCTATACCTGACTATTTTTTTTTCTAATATAAGGCACCACCATGTTGGTGTGACTTTCAAAATGAAGGGCACTGCAGCACAGTAGTGCATGTATTGCAGCACGTTGCAATAACATGTGCATAAAAATGTGTTACTGCAAGGCAAAGCAGTAAATGGGCCATAAAGTGAATAAAGAACATTTTATCCATCTGTTTACAGATTATCTGAACATCAGAGTAAAAGTACAGATGCCAGATACTGATATCTTTTTTATTGTCATGTGAAAGTTTTTGTAAAACAATACAGACTAATAATTTTAGGACATTAGTGGAGAGCCTCTGCGACCCTGGTAGTTCTGCCACTGACTCCAAGCTGAAGAGGGACTACAAATCTCAGCAATACATTATATAGCAATGCAGAATACCACCAGCTGTAGAGAGCAACAAATCCCAGCAATACATTATATAGCAATGCAGAATAACATTGGCTATAGAGGACTACAAATCCCAGCGCTACATTATACAGCATAGTAACAAGCTACATACTCTGTGTTGCTCAGCAGGGCTATGCGGCATCTCCGGAAGCTGTGCGTTGTCTGACTAGGGCTGTGCGGGCGGTTGCAGGCCTCATCAGGGCTATGTGGGTCTCACCAGGGCTGTGCAGGCGGATGTGCGACTCCCCAATGCTGTGCAGGCGGATGTGCGACTCCCCAATGCTGTGCAGGCAGGTGTGGTGGACATGTTTGTCTGGCCGGTGCCGTTATCAGGCACTGCCAGGTCCCCATAAGGCTGCCATGAGGTCTCCAGCAAGAACAGGACCTGACAGCAGCCACATGTGTTTAAAAATTTAAAGCGCCATTTTCGGTGCTTAGTATTGGGGCAGGTTCATGAGTACTGGTATCGGTGTATACCTAGTCATTATCCTGCTGCATCACCTAACTTCTACTAAGCTTCAGGTGGTGGACAGCCTCCCTAACATTGTCCTGTAGGTTATTTTGTTAAACGTGGGATTTATGGCAAGTAGTCCAGGCCCTGAGGCAGTGAATCAAGCCCAAATCAAGCCATACTTCACCGTTGGGATGTTTGGATGTTGGTAATCTGTGCCCTGTTTGCTTCATACATAGTGCTGAGTATTCTTCCCAAACAATTCAACCTTTGTTTCATGAGTCCACAAAACATCTCAGTAGCATTGTGGTTTGCCAAGGTGCTCTTTGGCAAACTTCTGGTGCACAGCAATGTTTTTTTGGGAGAACAGCGACTTCCTGTGTGGTGTTCTGCCATGGACACCTTGCCTGGCAGAGATGTTTGCCAGTTCCAAAGATGTCTTCAAGCCTAAAACTATTACTCATGGGTTGTTCTTTACCTCAATGAGGATTCTGCGTTGTACCTTAGGAGTCATCTTGGCCGAGCACCCTCTTCTAGGAAGAGTAGCCACAGTACTAAACTGTCTTCATTTATAGACAATTTGTCTGTCGACTGATGGCTGCCTAAACACTTTGCATCCCTTTTCAGCCTCGTGCAGATCAACTACTCTTGATTGTATGTCTTCGGAGCGCTCCTTTTTGAGAGGCATGGTCCACATCAGTTGATGCTTCTTATGAACAGCAATCCTAAAATGCTGGAGTGTCTTTTATCAAAGTAGCTCTAAACCACACCTCCAAGCTCATTTCATTAATTGGACTCCAGGTGTGCAAGCTACTGACTCCAATTAGGTTTTGTTGAAGTAATTAGTCTATGGGTTTGCTTACTTTCTTTGATAAATAATAATTCTTGCTGTTCAATAAAGACATGAAAAATTAGAATTGTTTGTGTGTTATCAGCTTAAGCACATTGTGTTGGTCTATTGTTGTAACATAGATGATCAGATCACATTTTATGGCAAATTACTGCAGAAAAACAGTTAATTCCAAGGGGTTTGCATACTTTTTCTTGCCACTGTATAATTGTATTTTTTTCTTTCTGGTTTAGATATTCTTTAACAGATTTGTGTGTTAAGATGAGGCTTAGGGTTGCATTTAGTGGCTGGTTAGGAGTTAGAATGAAGTTAAAGGTTACATCTGCAGGTAATTTAAGGTTTTGGGTTAGGAGTTTGGTTTGGGCACAGCTTGGCTACTTGAATCTATAATACACATAAAAACCAAGGAGCCTGTTTAGTAAGGCCTTGTTCACATGAGCATAAAGAACAACCATTTTCTTTACATTAGTGAATCTTTTTGAATGCTTTGCAAAGCCAATGTCTCTTCTGCAGTGGCGTCGCTACAGGGGGGCAATCCCCCCCCAGGTTCTTCCTTGCCCCCCGTGTAACCCCGCTAACAGTGGCGGATCGGGGTGACGTCACCCTGCTGCTTCACTCTGACTCTGCTGCTTGTGCGGTGCGGCCAGCCCAGTTCCCCCTACCCGAGGAAAATAGTCTCTCCCTCCGCCGCTCTGACTGGGCTGGCCGCATCGCACAAGCAGCAGGGTGCACAGGTCCCACGACGTCACTTGTATCCGCCCCGTAGGCGCCTCCACGACATGTAGCTGTGGAATTCGAAGTAAGTGACGTCCCTCTGGTCGGCTACCAAGGCACACCGCTCTCCACCCTGAAAGAAAAAAAGCTACTTACCTCACCGCTCTCCATCCTGAGTTCAAGGTTGACAGGCTGCAATCTTCCTGACTCCTGCCCTTTGGAGCTACACACTGACCTGCTCTCCAGCACCATCCCTTGTCTGGAATTACAGAAGTCTGCTTACTGCTAGTATACCCAGGGGCGGACTGACCATTCGGGCACTCGGCATGGACCGAGGGCCAGCGGCCAGGACGGGGCCCGTCACCCTCCCTCCCTCCAGCCCCACAGCATGTGTCCGTGCCCACCAGACCCTGCCGTCGGTTTACACAGCTTCATCTGACAGCCGCAGCTGCAGACGAGTATGATCATCTCTGTGCACGGATGTCTCCTACAGTTGCGAAGTGAGAGGGGGGGGTTTGGCAGAGGAGTGATGTGCGGGAAAGTGAAAGTGAGATTCGGTCCTGGCCGGCTTCTTTCTCAGACCTCATAGCAGCCAACCAAGTATCTGCCTGTATACAGTGCCCTGCTCACATTACATTACATAGCATTCCATGACCAGCACAGATCTCCACTGCCTGCACATCAACCATGCTGACCTCCCTCCAGTGGCGTAACCAGAGTTATGGGCGCCCCCCATTATGTAAAAATCCACTGGAACTGTACCCCCCACCCCCACAGATTCTCTTTTTCTGTGTCCCCTGTTATCAATGAACAGGAATCCTTTATGAGTGTTCCTGTTCATTGATAACAGAGGATGTTTACTATAACTACAACTATGAATGAACAGGAGGGCATGTAGATCACTCCCATTCATTCATAATTGAGGATATAGTAACCATACTATGTCCTCAATTATGTACAAACGCTCAGCGATCACTGAGTGTTTGTACCCGCTCTCAATCCTGACACGCTGTCACAGGAGGCTGAGCGAGCGGTGTGGGAGGAAAGACACCGGCCGATCACGGCACTCTCCACCACAGTGCTCGGCTGGCTGTCACTTTCTCTCCTTCCTGCTGGGACAAAGAGCAGCGCCCAGCGGGGAGGAAAGAAATCACTGCTGCGCCGGCAAAATGGCAGTTTCGGCACTCAGCCGAAAGTGCCACTTTCGGCCGGCGCCCCCCTTCAGCTTTACGCCCGTGGCCAGCGCCCACCCGGTTGTTACGCCACTGCCTCCCTCTGATCCTCTGCATCTGCCCCCCTGCATCCTCCGCATCTGCCCCCCTGCATCCTCTGAGTCTGCCCCCCTGATCCTCAACATCTGCCCCTTTGAGCCTCCGCATCTTCCGCTCTAATCCTCCCCATCTGCCCCTCTGATGCTCCCCATCTGCTCCCCATCTGCTCCTCTGATGCTCCCCATCTGCTCCTCTGATGCTCCCCATCTGCCCTTGCTTATCCTCCACATCTGCCCCTGCTTATCCTACAAATCTGCCCCTCTGATCCTCCACATCTGACGCTGCTGATCCTACAAATCTGCCCCTGCTGATACTCCACATCTGCCCGTTTATCCTTCACATCTGCTCCGTTAGGCCCTCTGCATCTGCCCCTGCCAAGACTTTCTGCATCTGCCCCTGTTGAGACCCTCCATCCAAGACACCAGGCCGGCACCCTGGAGCAGAGCGGCAGCACAGAGTATGTTGCAAATTCATATACTATTCTGTATTGCTGGAATTCATAGACCTCTATGGGGGGGCAATGCTTGAAATAGGGATTCCCATGGTACGTACCATAACCTGCCTTCTTTCTTACAACATAGAATACGGGGCATTTTGGTATACCATTTGGCTTTGTACATGGGCGCTTTATTTTTTAGAGAGCCAGTCACGTTTGTTTTATTTTGTTTAGCTTAAAGTACATATTCACCTTTTTAAGTGATTTGTATTTATTGTGGTAATGTACATGTGCAGTGATGATGTATACATGTGCACATTTTTTATGACTCACATTGCAGGCTTTCTTAATTTTTTGTAAAGAAGATTTTATTAGGCCTGAAGCCTACAAATTCGAAATTTTCTCCACAGGAAAATCATTTGGACACCCGGCGTATCAGACTGTAATCAGCTGCCCCCCTCCCTGTCACTCATTGTATCATGATCAGTAAACACCAGCTCTGCCTTTACACACAATATACTGTCTGGGGGGGGGGGGGGGATAACACACATTGCTTGCACAGCACAGAGGCAGAAATGTTCATGAGGATACGAGGAGGAAAGCTAATAAAAAATTCTG